CATAAATTTCCAATATTCGTTGTTCTGCAATTTGTTGGGCTTGGGCGTCCATGACGGCTTTAACTTAAACTACAGAGCTTGAACTGACGGTTCGGGTGTCGTAAGCCGGATGCGGAACTTTTGGGGTGCCGCGTGGATTCTAAGCCAAACGCCGTCGAGTGTAGCTGAACGCTTTCTGGCAGAGGTCCTCAAATGGTTCACCCAGGCGACCTTGGCGCTCAAGTACATCCATGAAAGGCTTCGCAGATGATGTTTTTCTGAGCCTGCATTCAGATGACTAGAGAAGGGCGAAATCCAGACTGCAGCCGAGTTATCCGGGAGAGGCTGCGGGTGTTAGGCTGCACTGCTACAAGTTCGCTTCCTTGGGTGTTGGACCTGGCAGCGTTTCTGCTTGTAACGAGATTTTGACATGAAAGCTGAGGGAGGTGTTGTTGACGCGTCGAACTCGCATTCGTGCATCTAGACCCCTTACTTCCTGGACCCCAGTTGCTGATCTGTCTATCCGATGCTAACCACCCTTGAAGGAAGCTGGAGCCGGAGCCTCGTTTGTTCTAGAGAACCAGCTTTGCAATTCTGAAGACCTCGTGAGCACTAGGCAGCCGAACCTGGGAGGCATATCCTTCACCGGGACTTGAAGCCGGGGAATTTCTTCCTCACCAAGAACGGCACCGCCCTTATAGGAGCTTGGGCGGACAAAGGTCTACGATTGTGAGCTTGGCGGTCAGGGCTAGGGTGGCAGCGCGCCACCAGGTGTCCAGCTCCAGCCCGACCATGCAATCCGATCGAGAACACACGTGTACCTCAAGCAGCCTTAGAGCATATCCTGAATCCCAAATCCACAACCCAGAATCCAAGTCTTGCATGGGCATCAACGACACCGGCAGCCTGCCCCAGAGCATTGCAGGTGTGCTAAAGATGGGCGACTTCGGCCAACCCGACGCGTTTTTGGTTGATGACAACATGCTATATCAGGTTGTACCCTGATGCTTCAAGGTTCAAGCCTCCGTTGGAAACCTTAGACACGGAATGGGGAACACCATCGATTTCCATGCATGCTGCTTCGGGCTTCACCGGTGACCGGTGTCACCCTTCCCATCCTCCTGGGTAGACCCTCCCAGTGCAGTCTCACTGGGTCACGGAATGTGATCGTTCATCGACCGAAGATAAACAGGGTCCTGCATGAACTGGTGCGTACATCACCTTCCTTTCAGCTGGATGCTGGTTGTGGGAGGAGGCTGTTGCGAATTCGTTGGCATCGTCATTAAGACCGCTGCAACGATGACGAAGAAGCTGATGATGATGATGAGGAGGAGGAGGACATTGACGATGACAATGATGACAATGATGACTTCAGTAAACCTCTCAAGCTAGGCAAGCTGGGCCCTAACCCGACAAGCCCCGAGATCTCAAGAGCGCTTACATGTCTTAGCACATCAAAGTTCTCGATTTCTCTGCCAGGCATCTCCAAGGAGCTCTCCTCCACTTTAGCCTGCGCAGCGGCCCCGGAATCGGTGCCACAGTCCTTTTGACCTAGGTTTCAGGCTCTGCTTCACGCCTTTAAGCAACATCTCAGATTCAGGAATGTCAAGGCCAGATCCGACACGGATCTGGTCAAGGCATCATGATACTGTAGAGTGAAGCTGTATGGCACTCTATAGGCTCAGCCGCCCGATGGAAAACCATTCCATCATAGGATCATGGTGATGTATACCCTGCTGTACCCAAGGCTCGCACGCAGATTGGGACTCCTTACTACCTGAGCCCCGAGGCAAGGCCGCGTTCGGGTCGTCGGGAGAATGGAGAAGATTTGTATGCTCGCCCCGTTCCGTAAGGCCAAGCCTTAACCATAGTATGAACTGCTGCCGGGAGTAGACATCCCAGCTGAATGCATGAGAAGCATCGGCGTCGCAGGTGTGCGAGGAGCAACCGTATGCCTGGCTCCTGGCGGGGTGGTCGAAGTTGGCTTGATCCTTCTGTCCCAAAGGCTTCAGGATTTTGTAATCAGATGTCCGTTGACGTCACCCGGTCTCACCTTGCACATTCTGAAACGATGCTGCAGGGCTGCATGCATGATGCCCTCCGGCTTGCTGAATCCGTCTTGTTTGTCGACGTACTGCGAAGACGGTGGCTGAACTTCTCCGAGATTGACAATGCTAGTAATCACAGGAATCCTCGTGGTAATGCCAATGATAAATGCAATCATACGCATGTCCCGCACCCTGACTCTGCGCTGAGATGCACAGTGCAACCTTAGCTATGAAATTGTGTGCGGGCCATCGACGCTTCAAGATACAGCAACCTCTTCGCCCAGTGGCCAAGCTCGTCGAAACTGCCAGTCACCCGAAAATCAAGAGGCCTGGCCCTCTGATATCTGGGCTCTCGGGTGCATCCTCTACGAGCTCTGTGCCCTCAAGGTGGCTGGGCTGAAGCCCTTTTAGGTTTTCCAATGAAGCCCACACCTGAAAGCTGGTCTCAAATTGCAGAGTCAGAGCCTCATGCCAGGTGCCCTTCGAGGGCAAGAATATCCATCACCTCGTGCAGCGGATAATTACCGGCCAGGTGTTGGTGCCTGAGTGTGAGTGAGGCATTTGACCTCGACATGCGCAACGTCACACCCCTAAACCCCAGAGCCCTGAAGTGTGGGGCCTGAGGCCTGAGAAGGTTTCGTCGTTCTTCAGAAAGCCTACCGCACACAGTTTGCTCGGGGGCCGTGTAACTTGCCGAGAAGATTACAATGCGCATGGCAGGACGAATCTTCAGGCACAGACAGAGACAGCTGCAGACATGGAGATGCGCACATGTAGAAGAGCCGATATCTGAGATCATTCAGCAGGGCCGACGCTGAAATGGGTAATTCTGGCGTCCGAGACCTTCTGGTTCGATCTTGGGGCCCATCCTGTATTTTGTTACTGAGGCCTTTGGTGCCCGGTGGCTATTCCGAATGCGTGCGACTGCGAGGGGCCCAGAAACGCCATCCTGATGTGTCCCCGAAGGCTCGGGACTGAAGCCCCGAAGCTCCCTTCTGAGGCTCTGTGAGGAGATGCTAGACCGCAACCCAGGCCGGCTTCGTTTGTCAGATCATCCTCAAGACTCAAGAGCTTGGCTCTGCAGGTGTCTAGGCCATGAGCTGATCTACTTGGGTACCTATGGTAACTTAGAGTGCAGCTCCCTAAGACGAATCCAGACGCCGAGCTTGAATAAGCCAAGTACGGACTCCAAGAGCTCCTGGAGACCCAACAACCATCCTCACAGTCGGATCGTCATGGCTACAGCAGCAAGCATTCAAAATACCCGAAACCCTTAGATGTTCCTTCTAACACCCTCAACCCTAAGCCCTGAAATTCGTCTTTATTTTGGTTTTCAAGGAGCTCTTTGTCCGAGTTAATATAGGGGCCTAAATAATTACAAATATTTGTTTTTTGAGGGGGGTCCTTATTATGAGTATCGTGCGTGTGTGTGTATATATATATATACACATACCCCACAACCCCATTATGTCTGTCTCTGTTTCTCGGCTCGGGTAGGCCGGCGCCCCAGTGCTGAAGACATCCTGAAGCGGCAGGGGCCTCAGAAAAGCTAATAGGGGGGGTTCTTCTTAGTTTAGGGTTTTGGGCTTAGGCTTTCTGTTGCGGCTTTTGGGTTCATGGTTTCCGTCCTGGTTAGCTGCGGCTTCCGGTATTGTTTCAGTGGTGCTGCAGAGAGTCACTTTCGCTGCCTGATTCTTCATTTGCTTGCGGCGGAGAGGTTTCGAGCACTTGTGCACGAATCCGTCAAAGGAGCCTGCAAGCCCGGACATTCAACCTTAAATCTGTAGAAACCCTACGACCACGACCACCATTTTCGGCTCTTCTGTTGTAGACTAGGTCACATCATCATCCAGTGATATGTTGTTTTACAGTAGAATGTCCTACATTATACTATGCTAAAGCCTGTTGGTTGCCCTTTTGTTGATATGCATAATACAGCTGTTTACGTTAGATCACTGACGGGTGCAAGAGGGATCCGACGGCTGGACCCCCTACCGCCTTCGACAAGCCCTCAAACAATGTACACTTGTATCCCAAACTATTCCGGGATGTCTTTACATTTGGGGTTCGTTCCGCGGCGCTTTGCTACAACAAAGGTCATACCGTTTGAGTATGCATTAGGTGGAGCCGCGTCTTTGCCGAATTTTCCGTCCGAATTCCTGCTCGAAAAGCTCCACCCAGCCCCTTAATGTGCAAACAAGGTCTGAAATCCAGATTATCGTGCAGCAGCTGCTTGACGAAGCCTCGCATCTGCACTGGTTCTGCAAAAGCGAAGGCAGTTGCGGTCTTCTGCGGTTGTGAATGCCTGCTTAGGCTTGAGGTTCTAGGCTTTGCGGCTGCTTCTCGGACAGCAGGAGCCTCCGCCAAGAGAACGGCCGAAAGCCCGCCGAAGACCGAAGACCCAACCCCTCAACCCCTGAGCGGACACTTCGAGCCAGACATAACCCGACCTGCCCACAGAGTAGATGATGCCAGTGCCCAAAGTCAGAAGACGAAGCCTCGCAGTTGTGCCGAGGCCAAGGCCATCCCCGCAAGTTTCGACTGATGTGCGCAAGGAGTCGGTGGGCGAGTCTCGGGGTTTTGAGGCTGTCTTTGTGAAAGGTACATGAGGTACCGTCAATTTAAGTGTTAGTTGGGCCATGTGTTGAGGAAGGGCATGGGATTCTGTACAGCTCACATGTTGTTGAACGCCCCTCTGCATGGTTCACTTTGCTGCCTGCTCCGATTGTCAGCCTGGTAGTCTCTAGCCAGGGTGGTGCTCAGGCCGAAACCCTGAGCCTCTGGTGTCGAGTTTGAAAATCACCTTGGCAGGAGCTTCCAAAGAAAAGTTGGTACAGTTAATGCAGTGACCGTATCGCATATTGCGTAGGATACCGGGGTAGTTTTCAGAGCCTCTCGTGCCATCGGCGCGGCCGGTTCTGAACTCTGTGTGGCGAGTAGGGCAGCCAGTTTGGGAATCAGCAGGCACTCAGCATGAGCCTATCGCCCGAGCTGCACATTGCGCTTCAGCGCATAACTGCTTGCAATAAAAGCGAGCGCTTGCTGATGGTGGTACGTGACGACCTGATCAAAAGTTTGCAAGCCGGACAGACCGCAGTGGCTTATGCCCACGAAGCGTGGATGCAGCTTGAGCAGTTGGGTGCGGACGTGATGTCCATCGGGAGGTTGGTCGGTTTGGTTGACAGGGACAAGTTGCACAAGGCTTTCAAGGACTCCAAGCTGCTGATGCGTGACAGGGTGGTGTGGCAAGCCATGGGTCGTTTCCGCACGATGCTGGACACAC